TTTCCAGTGCCTAAAGGGGCTCCAGGAGAGCAAGAGAGGACTGGGATGGGACAAGGGGCAATGACTCAAAAATGGCAAGGGAGGATGGGTTTAAATAGAAAGAGGACAGGTTTGGATAAGATACTGGGAAGAAATTCTTCCCTGTGAGGGTGAYGAGACACTGCMCAGAGCAGTTYTGGATTCCCCATCCCTGGAAGTGCCCAAGGCCAGGTTGGACAGGTGTTTGAAMAACCTGGCCTAGTGGGAGGTGTTCCTGCCCATGGCAGGAGATGGGAAATGGATGATTTTTAAGGTCCCTTCCAACCCAAACCAGGACACGATTCTTTGATTCTCCTTCACAGTTACGACCATTAGGAATTTTCAGGGCTGCTGAATCCACAGGCTCCCATCAGTTCGTTTTACCCCGCCAAGCCTGCTGCTGAACGAATGGCAGTATTGCCATCTACTGGGCAGCTGCCTCTTTCTCCCGGCCTCTCAGCTCTCCAAATTGCTCCTGTGTGGTGTTTGTTCTCCTCTGTGGGTGACCAGAGGCACCACATATCTCAMTAAGATATCTCAGTAAATGAAAACAAAGCGAGGCTTAAATGGCACACTGGGGTTTGGAGGAGAGATGGGGTTGTCCTGGGGCTTGACTGGCCTGGCACACACATCCTCAGCTGGATGAAACCATCTCCATGAAGTAAATGCTCAAAACCCCAGGGGATGCACCTACATTTTGTCCAGGGAAGCTGAGTGTGGACCAAAATGCCTGTGCTGGACACGCCTGACCCCCTTACATCAGCAGTTGCATAAAACCCACCAAAAACAGAATATCTGCAACCAGCAGAGATTAAATATTYTGTCACAAGCACAGAGGCTGTGAAGACTTTCAGGTCAGCCCAGCTGAGGAGGCTGAAAGACTCGAGATGACCTGGGGATCTGGTTCCTTGGGGATCACATGAGCCACACACCAGGGTAAAATATTACAGGATGCATAACACAGAAGAATCTCCCTCCAAAATAAACCTGCTCCCCTGAGATCCTCCACAAAGGAAGCTATAATCTATTATATTTCCCTGGAAATAAATACTTGGCTACTACTTTGGAGTAAACAGAGATGAAAACTTAATGGTACCTAAGTGCTTTTCATAGTCAAAGCATCCCAAAGTGCTCTGAGATAATTAAGGCTGAAYGGCTGTCAGGAGGCAGCAGAGCCCCTTGTACCACACTCCCAAATATCCTTCACTTCTGCCTGTGAGGAAGCATGGAATGACTGGGGAAGGAGTGGTGTAGTTTCACYTAGAGAGATTTGGGGGGTTATTCTGATAAAGGATGGCAGTGCCAGGGTAGCATTTGGATGAGGAGATGTCTGCAACCAGAATATCTCTGTGCAGCCATGGTGTGGCTGAGGGCCCTATTGCTGAGCTTGAAATCTCCCCAGCTCTGTTTGGTTTGGGGCCTGCTGAGGTGCTCGAGGGTGTGAAGACATCCCTGTGGGGCTGGTGAGATGGCAGGAGAGCTGTGGCCCTTGGACACAGGAGGATGGGATGGG